CAATGGGTTGTCATTTAAAGGTCAAAAGTAATCTAATTGAGTTTTCACACAATTAGATTAATTAGGGAAATTTGGGCCTAATCTTAATAAGGTTTATGGGCCTAATTATGATTAGACACATCATTAAGCCCCCCACTTCCAAGTTGGGTCATGGGCTTGTGAGCCTAGTTGGAAGTAATATATAAGCACATCCATGCCCTTGTAGGGTTTTTTATTTTGTATTCTTGAGGTTTCTTCTTCCAGAATTGTGCTAGCGAGATTTAAGAATAATTGGCAAACTTCCAAAGGTATAAATATTTTTTGCAAATCCTCTCTTTTTTATTCGAATCCTTGTGCCGTTGGTCACATCCGTAGTTTGTTGTTTGGAGTCCCGAAATTGTGTTTGATAAAAGCGTAGAATTTTGATGTCGGGTCTAAGGTTGTTGGATGAGTCTAGCAACGAACTATGTGGAGTTAATTCGGAATCCGATAATTTTTGGGTTTGGAATTCGAAAAATCTTGATAGCCGGGTTGAAAGAGGTTGAAATTTGGAGTCCGGGAGTACCAATTTTTCGAAATTCGGAGTTGTGAGCGAGAAGTTATGTGCGAAACAGTGTAATGGTGCGTTGTTCGAGGGAAAATCCATCTCTGGCGGCCCTGGCATCGATTTCCGTGCCAAAAAGGTGGGGGTGACGTCAGACCTGGCAGACGTGACGTCACCGGGCGTCGAGAACAGTGCAACTGGGCGGTCGGGCGGGTCAACTCGGGCGGGCCGGGCGAGTCGGGTGGCTGAGCCGAGTCGGGTGGCTGAGCCGACTCGGGCGGGTGGGTCAGACCGGGGGGAGCTTGCAACTCGGTCGGGTGAGTTGACTCGGGGGAGTGAGTCAACTCGGTCAGTGGAATCGGGCGGATCAACTCAGGCGACCGGGTTAACTCGGATGGAAGGGGGGTGTGACGTCAGCATGACGTCACACGGAGCGGGTGGAGTATGTGCCGCGCGCGTGGCGCGCGTGGGCGATGGCCGCGGGGAGTGCGTGGGGCATGGCAGAACAGCTGCTGGGAGCTGTTCCGCGCGTGGGGGCGCGTCCGGGTCGTCTCCGGCGCGTGCAGGGCCGTTCGGAGCCCGTTTTTTCCGCCGAAAACCGTGTTTCAGCTGCCAACTTTGATGTGGGTCCGGGGTTTCGTTCCGTGGAGTTGGAATGTAGCGATCCTGAGAGTTGGGCGTGGTCTCGACGTATTAATGTTTTTGGGACGAACCTTAATTTAAAAAATTCCGTGCTCCGTGGATCGAAGAGAAGACGTGAATTTGAGGTGAACGAGAGCTTGTTGAGTGGCGTGGAGGAAGAATTAACCGATTTTTCCGGCGGTAGTTTTCCTGAGGAATATTCAAAAATATGTTCCGAATTAAATTTCGACTCTTCCTTTAGAGTTGGTCAACTTCTCGAGATTCTGGACTATCTACGTGTCAAGCATGCTATTGAGATATTGGTGCCGTGTAAGGGAGAGAGATGTTATGCCCCTCCTGATGGCTACTTTACGGTATTCCTTGCATCATTTTCGGTTGGATTTACTTTGCCACCTAATCCGGTTCTTGTTCAAATTTGTCGAGATGTCAAGGTAAGCCTCAGTCAATTAACGCCGAACGCATTTCTTTACTTTAAAGGATTTTGTCATCGCGCTGAGTCCGAGGGTTTTCCAATTTCGGCGAATTTATTTCACTCCATGTTTCTTGTAAAGCCGCTGAGGGACAAAGCTCTTAATTTTCATTTTCATCCTCGGCCGAAATGCAAGTTTTTGAAGAAAAATGAGAATAAATGGGGGAGTTGGAAGGAGTGGTTCCTATACGTGCGGAATGATTGGGAAGTTCCTTCTGTATGGGGTGAAGTATGTCCCGTTGAGTGGAGTAATGAACACTCTAGACTCCAAATGGATTGTATAGGAATGGGTTTTTTTGATTATTTCTTCGACCCTTTGACTTTATTTTCTAAGGGTAGAGGAGTTGTGCTGTATTGATTGCTCCGTTATCTTTCTTTATAGTTTTCTTGAAACTAATATTTTTGTATTTGCTGTTTTCGTGTTCTGCAGGTGAGACGATGAGCTATAATGATTTCAAACGTCGTTGCATGAACAATGGTTCCTCGAAGCCTGTGTCTCGAAACACACCTCCGGCCTCAAGGCCCGTGGCAAGGGAATCGGGAAGAGGCACTGCTGAGGATCGAAGTAGTGGGAAAAAACCAGCCCATGGGGTGGGGTCGTCACGTGGTCTGGAGGTAGCTGTGAAGAAGAGCGTTGTAGCCTCGGATCCCAAATCCGCCGACAAAGGTCGTCTTGCTATTGTGAGTGCGTCCCCGCTGCCTTTGAGCGAGCTCAAGTCCCCCTCCGCATCCGGGGATACTCGTGTCGCCCCTATCGCCGCGCGTGAAAAAAGGCCTCGCACCTTAGGAGTTGAGGAGTTGCTGTTACCGCCCGTTAATGCATGGGAAGGGAATTTTATTGCTGGTGTTGATAGGACGCAAAATGGCGGTTCGTGTTTGACGTTCTTGATAGCGCCTTGGCCATGGAGAAGGTAATGGGTTTCCCGACAGAGTTTGATTCGACTCGTCTTGCCGGGAAACCTCTAGACGAGATGATCGAAGGGTTGGCGTCCTCCTTTGCTCGGGTTAGTATCGGATTTATCATGCACCTCCATATTTGATTTATTATTACTATTAATAATAATAACTCCTGCCCCTTTTATTTATTTATTTTTTAGACTATGACTTTCGTGCCCTTGATTATTGATCGCGGGAGGGGCTTGGAGGCTGAGCATGCCAAGATGCAAGCAGAGAAGTTGAACGTTAATTCGTTGTATGCGGGTGTTCAGGGTGTCAATGCCTCCCTTCGCTCAGAGATTGAAGGTTTGAAGAAGTCTCTGGATGAAGAAAAAGGCAAGTTGAGTGCCTTGGAGAAGAAATGTCAGAGCTTGGTGACACGTGCGGATGATGAAAAATCGGCTCGTCCGAAGGCCGAAGCTAGGATTAAGGATCTGAGCCTATCTTTGAAGAATGAGAAGACCGACGCGCTTTCTTTCATGGAAGCCCATAAGTAGGGGTGGGTATTCGGGTCGGGTCGGGTTATTCGGGTCGGGTTATTCGGGTTTTTTGCAAAAAAAAAATTACCCGAACCCGACCCGAGATAACCGGGTACCCGGCAACCCGGGTACCCGGTTATTTCGGGTCGGGTTCGGGTCGGGTTCGGGTTTTGCTATTTTCCTCTTTTTTTTTTTCTTTTTTTTTTTTTTTTTTTAAGGTATACATATATATACAGACATATATATATAGCAATATACATATGCATATACTGATATACATATATTATATATATATATATATATATATATATATATATATATATATATATATATAGAAGATACATATACTGATATACATATATATATTTATATATATATATATACATATACAGACAGATACATATACTGATATACATATATATATTTATATATATATATATACATATACATATACATATACTGATATACATATATATATATATATATACACACACACAGACATATACATATATATACATACAAATATAGACATATATATATATAGTATGTATTACAGACATATATATATATATATATATATATATATATATATATATATATATATATATATATATATTTATATATATATAAAAAAAAAAAAAAATTTTTTTTTTTTTAAACCGGGCACCCGATCGGGCACCCGGGGAAAATTTCTAT